TAAGGTTTGAACACCGGATCAACATCAAGACATCAGGTTTAAGGTTTGAACACCGGATCAACATCAAGACATCAGGTTTAAGGTTTGAACACCGGATCAACATCAAGACATCAGGTTTAAGGTTTGAACACCGGATCAACATCAAGACATCAGGTTTAAGGTTTGAACACCGGATCAACATCAAGACATCAGGTTTAAGGTTTGAACACCGGATCAACATCAAGACATCAGGTTTAAGGGTTTTAAACACCAGATCAACATCAAGACATCAGGTTTAAGGTTTGAACACCGGATCAACATCAAGACATCAGGTTTAAGGTTTGAACACCGGATCAACATCAAGACATCAGGTTTAAGGTTTTGAACACTGGATCAACATCAAGACATCAGGTTTAAGGTTTGAACACCGGATCAACATCAAGACATCAGGTTTAAGGTTTGAACACCGGATCAACATCAAGACATCAGGTTTAAGGTTTGAACACCGGATCAACATCAAGACATCAGGTTTAAGGTTTGAACACCGGATCAACATCAAGACATCAGGTTTAAGGTTTGAACACCGGATCAACATCAAGACATCAGGTTTAAGGTTTGAACACCGGATCAACATCAAGACATCAGGTTTAAGGTTTGAACACCGGATCAACATCAAGACATCAGGTTTAAGGTTTGAACACCGGATCAACATCAAGACATCAGGTTTAAGGTTTGAACACCGCATCAACATCAAGACATCAGGTTTAAGGTTTGAACACCGGATCAACATCAAGACATCAGGTTTAAGGTTTGAACACCGGATCAACATCAAGACATCAGGTTTAAGGTTTGAACACCGGATCAACATCAAGACATCAGGTTTAAGGTTTGAACACCGGATCAACATCAAGACATCAGGTTTAAGGTTTGAACACCGGATCAACATCAAGACATCAGGTTTAAGGTTTGAACACCGGATCAACATCAAGACATCAGGTTTAAGGTTTGAACACCGCATCAACATCAAGACATCAAGTTTAAGGTTTGAACACCGGATCAACATCAAGACATCAGGTTTAAGGTTTGAACACTGGATCAACATCAAGACATCAGGTTTAAGGTTTGAACACCGGATCAACATCAAGACATCAGGTTTAAGGTTTGAACACCGGATCAACATCAAGACATCAGGTTTAAGGTTTGAACACCGGATCAACATCAAGACATCAGGTTTAAGGTTTGAACACCGGATCAACATCAAGACATCAGGTTTAAGGTTTGAACACCGGATCAACATCAAGACATCAGGTTTAAGGTTTGAACACCGGATCAACATCAAGACATCAGGTTTAAGGTTTGAACACCGGATCAACATCAAGTTTAAGGTTTGAACACCGGATCAACATCAAGACATCAGGTTTAAGGTTTGAACACCGGATCAACATCAAGACATCAGGTTTAAGGTTTGAACACCGGATTAACATCAAGACATCAGGTTTAAGGTTTGAACACTGGATCAACATCAAGACATCAGGTTTAAGGTTTGAACACCGGATCAACATCAAGACATCAGGTTTAAGGTTTGAACACTGGATCAACATCAAGACATCAGGTTTAAGGTTTGAACACCGGATCAACATCAAGACATCAGGTTTAAGGTTTGAACACCGGATCAACATCAAGACATCAGGTTTAAGGTTTGAACACCGGATCAACATCAAGACATCAGGTTTAAGGTTTGAACACTGGATCAACATCAAGACATTAGGTTTAAGGTTTGAACACTGGATCAACATCAAGACATCAGGTTTAAGGTTTGAACACCGGATCAACATCAAGACATCAGGTTTAAGGTTTGAACACTGGATCAACATCAAGACATCAGGTTTAAGGTTTGAACACTGGATCAACATCAAGACATCAGGTTTAAGGTTTGAACACCGGATCAACATCAAGACATCAGGTTTAAGGTTTGAACACTGGATCAACATCAAGACATCAGGTTTAAGGTTTGAACACCGGATCAACATCAAGACATCAGGTTTAAGGTTTGAACACCGGATCAACATCAAGACATCAGGTTTAAGGTTTGAACACCGGAGCAACATCAAGACATCAGGTTTAAGGTTTGAACACTGGATCAACATCAAGACATCAGGTTTAAGGTTTGAACACCGGATCAACATCAAGACATCAGGTTTAAGGTTTGAACACCGGATCAACATCAAGACATCAGGTTTAAGGTTTGAACACCGGATCAACATCAAGACATCAGGTTTAAGGTTTGAACACCGGATCAACATCAAGACATTAGGTTTAAGGTTTGAACACCGGATCAACATCAAGACATCAGGTTTAAGGTTTGAACACCGGATCAACATCAAGACATCAGGTTTAAGGTTTGAACACCGGATTAACATCAAGACATCAGGTTTAAGGTTTGAACACTGGATCAACATCAAGACATCAGGTTTAAGGTTTGAACACCGGATCAACATCAAGACATCAGGTTTAAGGTTTGAACACTGGATCAACATCAAGACATCAGGTTTAAGGTTTGAACACCGGATCAACATCAAGACATCAGGTTTAAGGTTTGAACACCGGATCAACATCAAGACATCAGGTTTAAGTTTGTTTGAACACCGGATCAACATCAAGACATCAGGTTTAAGGTTTGAACACTGGATCAACATCAAGACATTAGGTTTAAGGTTTGAACACCGGATCAACATCAAGACATCAGGTTTAAGGTTTGAACACCGGATCAACATCAAGACATCAGGTTTAAGGTTTGAACAACATGGATCAACATGGATCAACATCAAGACATCAGGTTTAAGGTTTGAACACCGGATCAACATCAAGACATCAGGTTTAAGGTTTGAACACTGGATCAACATCAAGACATCAGGTTTAAGGTTTGAACACCGGATCAACATCAAGACATCAGGTTTAAGGTTTGAACACCGGATCAACATCAAGACATCAGGTTTAAGGTTTGAACACCGGAGCAACATCAAGACATCAGGTTTAAGGTTTGAACACTGGATCAACATCAAGACATCAGGTTTAAGGTTTGAACACCGGATCAACATCAAGACATCAGGTTTAAGGTTTGAACACCGGATCAACATCAAGACATCAGGTTTAAGGTTTGAACACCGGATCAACATCAAGACATCAGGTTTAAGGTTTGAACACCGGATCAACATCAAGACATTAGGTTTAAGGTTTGAACACCGGATCAACATCAAGACATCAGGTTTAAGGTTTGAACACCGGATCAACATCAAGACATCAGGTTTAAGGTTTGAACACCGGATCAACATCAAGACATTAGGTTTAAGGTTTGAACACCGGATCAACATCAAGACATCAGGTTTAAGGTTTGAACACCGGATCAACATCAAGACATCAGGTTTAAGGTTTGAACACCGGATGAACATCAAGACATCAGGTTTAAGGTTTGAACACTGGATCAACATCAAGACATCAGGTTTAAGGTTTGAACACCGGATCAACATCAAGACATCAGGTTTAAGGTTTGAACACCGGATCAACATCAAGACATCAGGTTTAAGGTTTGAACACCGGATCAACATCAAGACATCAGGTTTAAGGTTTGAACACCGGATCAACATCAAGACATCAGGTTTAAGGTTTGAACATCAAGACATCATTAAACATCACCGGACATCAGGTTTAAGGTTTGAACACCGGATCAACATCAAGACATCAGGTTTAAGGTTTGAACACCGGATCAACATCAAGACATCAGGTTTAAGGTTTGAACACCGGATCAACATCAAGACATCAGGTTTAAGGTTTGAACACCGGATCAACATCAAGACATCAGGTTTAAGGTTTGAACACCGGATCAACATCAAGACATCAGGTTTAAGGTTTGAACACCGGATCAACATCAAGACATCAGGTTTAAGGTTTAAACACCGGATCAACATCAAGACATCAGGTTTAAGGTTTGAACACCGGATCAACATCAAGACATCAGGTTTAAGGTTTGAACACCGGATCAACATCAAGACATCAGGTTTAAGGTTTGAACACTGGATCAACATCAAGACATCAGGTTTAAGGTTTGAACACCGGATCAACATCAAGACATCAGGTTTAAGGTTTGAACACCGGATCAACATCAAGACATCAGGTTTAAGGTTTGAACACCGGATCAACATCAAGACATCAGGTTTAAGGTTTGAACACCGGATCAACATCAAGACATCAGGTTTAAGGTTTGAACACCGGATCAACATCAAGACATCAGGTTTAAGGTTTGAACACCGGATCAACATCAAGACATCAGGTTTAAGGTTTGAACACCGGATCAACATCAAGACATCAGGTTTAAGGTTTGAACACCGGATCAACATCAAGACATCAGGTTTAAGGTTTGAACACCGCATCAACATCAAGACATCAAGTTTAAGGTTTGAACACCGGATCAACATCAAGACATCAGGTTTAAGGTTTGAACACTGGATCAACATCAAGACATCAGGTTTAGGTTTGAACACCGGATCAACATCAAGACATCAGGTTTAAGGTTTGAACACCGGATCAACATCAAGACATCAGGTTTAAGGTTTGAACACCGGATCAACATCAAGACATCAGGTTTAAGGTTTGAACACCGGATCAACATCAAGACATCAGGTTTAAGGTTTGAACACCGGATCAACATCAAGACATCAGGTTTAAGGTTTGAACACCGGATCAACATCAAGACATCAGGTTTAAGGTTTGAACACCGGATCAACATCAAGTTTAAGGTTTGAACACCGGATCAACATCAAGACATCAGGTTTAAGGTTTGAACACTGGATCAACATCAAGACATCAGGTTTAAGTTTTGAACAGTGGATGAGGTTTGATTTAAAAGTGAAAACAAACAAACCATATAGGAAAACGCCGTTAACCAGTGTAGTAATTCTAAAATCAGACGAACAATAAACAAAGTTCTCAGTTCTCTCATATCCGGTAAAGTGAAATGTTGTTACCTTGATGTTGTCTATACGATACTTTCCGACTGGACTTCCTGAATCCAATATTTCTGAAGAAGCGACCGAACATAGACCCTCCTTTCTTCTTGTCCTCTGGGGCAACAGGTGTGTCTAGAATGTTCAGGAAAAGTATGAAATATGTTAAAACAAAGGTTACCAAATGCCACGACGTAACAGATGTAAATATAAACTTCGAACACTGTTAATTTACACCAGCAGACTCAATTTGAAGCCAACGCACTTCCTAATTCCTAGGTGTGATTCCAGTCGCGGGCAACCCGGCAGCAGACCGTTTTGCGTCGGGTTTAGTAAAACTAATGAACGTAAAATTGCCTAGTCAAATCACAACTATCAACAACAACAGAATTTTTTTTAAAAATTGCTGGGGTTGTTTCTGCCAACGTCCTGTAAAGGATACGGAACTTTAAGGAAACTGGAAATTGTGTGTGTGTGTGTGTGTGTGTGTGTGTGTGTGTGTGTGTGTATGTGTGTGTTTGGGAGTGGGGCGGGGTGGGGATACCCAGAAATACCTAAAGAATTCCACACTAAGAGATAGCCGGGTAGGTAGACAGATAGACATACAGAAAAACAGGTAGACAAACGGATAGATAGATTCATGTGAGATAGAAAGACAGACAGACAAACAGATAGACTGGATAGGCAGACATAATGATATATAGACAGACAGATAGACAGATACAAAGATAGATAAACTTATAGACAGACAGACAGACAGACAGACAGACAGACAGACAGACAGACAGACAGACAGACAGACAGACAGACAGACAGACAGACAGACAGACAGACAGACAGACAGACAGACAGACAGACAGACAGATAGATAGATAGATAGATAGATAGATAGATAGATAGATAGATAGATAGATAGATAGATAGATAGATAGATAGATAGATAGATAGATAGATAGATAGATAGATAGATAGATAGATAGATAGATAGATAGATAGATAGATAGATAGATAGATAGATAGATAGATAGATAGATAGTGGACGAACAACTATAGCTGATTAACACTAAGAAGAAGAAGGAGGAGGAGAAGGGGAAGAAAAAGAAGAAGAAGACTGTTGACAAAACGAACGTTGCAGCACCCATCACCGGCATTAATGGAATTCGATGTGGTTAGACAGACAGACATACATAATAGACAAATAGATAATCAGACATATAATCTGCTAGACAAACAAACAAAATAACTACAACATTACGTAAATCGAATTTTATTTCACTTCAGAAAATGACGTATGGTTGACGCAAATTGGAGTTTTATTCCTTTCTTAAAATAAAAACATCCTGCTTATAATTTCGTTTGCTAAGAAACTCTCGAAGCAATAACGTCATTACTTGAAATTTCAGAACTTATCTCTAAGGAAACTTTTTCTTTCTTTCAGAAAACAGTTTGTTTAAAAAACAAGAGTTATCTATTGCAATTTATTCTCATATTTATATAAAATTACACTTTTATTTCAAAAGGCTGTCTAAAATAAAATTCAAAAATGTAGCTATGAAACGTAATTATCTAGCAAACGTGACCGCATCTGCTCAGATGTTCTGAGGACACATGACGAAGGATTTACAAAATGAAGATGTACTCCTCAAAGCATCAATGTGAGCCATATGTAAAGATAGGGAGGCCACATATATTGTTGCATGGAGGAGGAAGAAACTCGGGAAGGGAATAGCTGGAGATAGAGAGAGGTAGAGACATAGAATGAGAGAGAGAATAAATGACACAGAGACAGAGACAGAGACATGGATGAGAAAAGGAGAGAGAGAATGAGAGACACAGAGACAGAGTGAGAGAGAGACAGAGAGATAGAGAGACACAGAGAGACACAGAGAGAGACACAGAGAGAGACAAACAGAGAGACACACAGAGAGACACACAGAGAGACACAGAAAGAGACACACAGAAACACAGAGACAGTGAGACAGAGACAGAGAGAGATACAGAGAGATACAGAGAGAGACACAGAGACACAAAGAGACAGAGAGAGACATCGAGAGAGAGACAGAGAGAGACAGAGAGACATAGAGAGAGACACAGAGAGAGACACAGAGAGAGAGACAGAGAGAGACACACAGAGAGAGCGACACACAGAGAGAGAGAGAGAGAGAGAGAGAGAGAGAGAGAGAGAGAGAGAGAGAGAAAGAGAGAGAGATAGAAAACAAACGAACTGTATTATCAAAGAGTTTAGAATTGGGCACGCATGCCCGTCTAACATTCTGCCCTTCTAGCCTCTTTACTTTCATTAATCATTTCATTTATAAACAAAGTAATATTAAACATTATCAACAGCATCAAACATTTTTATACCAAGTGCTGGAATATACACATTTCCAACTACAGAAGACCACAGTAATTGTAGCAAATCTAGGCACAATATGCGCTATTTTTCTAAAATAATTTTAATCTTTTATGGGGGCAGGTTATCTGTGTTCAGATAATGTTCATACAGTTTCCATTTGTGTACATATGGGGGAAACGGGGGGGGGGGGGGGGGGGGGGGGGGGAGGTTTGAGGTTGGGTAATTTATCTTTTTAGCGTTTACCTGTAAACTCCGGCGGAAAGTTCTGGCTGTTCGTTCACTTCTGGACTTTAGTCTTTTAAACAACCTCTGAGTTTTGCATGCACATCCACTTTACAGATCTGGCCTATTTGTATGCAGACTGCCTCTCGGGCAAATAGACTGCGAATTTGAAGGAAACACCCTTAATTTGACGCCTCCTATGACATGCTTGGATGGGGGCAGTACAGTGGGTCTACCTTTTCTTTTCTAAAATGGAGCCCCAGAATCTATACGGGAAAGCGGGGGGGGGGGGGGATAAGTGCAGAAACGTCAATGAGCTCAGCGTTTAAGAAAACATCTAACAGATGCGATGGCAACCACGATCCTGAGATCCCATGCAATTATTGTGCTAGATTTGTCCTTGTCCGACTTGCTAGTCTTCTTTCCTCTACTCCCGGAACGCCTCGTGGGGTCAGGGCAGGAACGTTTGTTTTTTTGTTATCTGTACCGACATCCTAGAACATCGGTATGCCCTACTCCCGCTCCGTGCTCCGATGCAATCTCAGAGTCCTCATGCTCAACATACCCTTTAGGAGAAGACTGGCGTATCTTCTTTCTGTGCTCTGCAACCGGTTTCCGCATGCTTGTCCTCGTTTAATAACCATTTCCAAGAGAGCAGTTCATCGTCTTCGACTCCCTTCCCTCTGGAACGCAGAGTATGCCTGCCCTGTTCATACTGCAGGGTGCTTTATTAATATCCTGCTCAAAAGAGGGGAAATCCACACGTCACGGGACAGTCTAATATCTTAAGGGGTGGTAGAGAGGCTGCAAGCAGTCGGTGGACCTAGGCTGCACGCAGTCGTGGGACTCAGGCTGCACTCTCTCGTAGGACGTAGGTGTATTTGAGTTATGGGGGAGGGGGGGGGGGCTAGTTCTAGATGTTTTGGGGTCGTTAAAAGCACCAGAAAGCCGGGAAACCCAGTCTTACCACTTTCTAAAATGTTGGACGGTCCTGTGACGTCATCAGGGAGTAGGATATGAATAAAGAACCATACTGCAGTCACCACCAGTCTATCGGCTCTAGTAATGCGTAACCATCGTATTTCTGGCGACGACTGTTGGCTTTGGCGTCTCTAGTAAATGCCATATGCGTTAAGTTGCGAGTTATGAGCTGGATTATCTTCACAGCACTCCGGACACATCCAAAGGTGTTCAGATTCCCCTCTCAACATATTCGTCAGCGTCGCGCGGTTAATATGACAGTCCTATGCTGGCTGACAAAACTTCGTGTGCGTCCGATGTGCTACTCGTGCTTGGATGTGCTGATCTTTACTCCCAATTCTCGAATTCTTAGCAGTGATGTGGACACGTTGCTTCCAAAATCCCCGGAACGTCTAAGGGCATTGACAATGTCTGAGTGATCCATGGGCCTGTCATCTTCAATGCCATACGCATTTACTGCGTGGGCATATTTCTGAATTGCGCCGGGACTAAGTATTCATTAGTTTTAAAATGGGACATTGAGGGACATTTTATCTGATTTCCAGTGAAGTTGAAATCTAAGACTAATGTGTGTAATTTTAATGCCACTCTGAAGAACAATTTAAGACACATGTTTGGAGAGACAGTAGTGCACAGGTTATGTTGAACATGCTCTGTTGTTTGCAAGTTAAATCTCGGAACACGAACAAATTAGGAAGAGCTTGAAAACTGGTAAAATGTGGTTTTCGGTGCTTTTTCTTGGACAGCTAAAATAAAGTAAGTCAGCAATATATCAATAAACTGAAGCCAATCATCGATGATTTAATAAACTAAAGTTAATCATCAATAATTTAATAAACTAAAGCCAGTCGTCAATGATTTAATAAACTAAAGTCAATCATCAATAATTTAATAAACTAAAGCCAGTCGTCAATGATTTAATAAACTAAAGTCAATCATCAATAATTTAATAAACTAAAGCCAGTCGTCAATGATTTAATAAACTAAAGTCAATCGTCAATGAATTAAAAAACTAAAGTCAATCATCAATAATTGATTAAACTCAAGCCAATTATCAGTTATTTAACAAACTAAAGTCAATCATCAACGATTTAATAAATTAAAGTTAATCATCAATGATTTAACAATCTTAAGTTAATCAACAATGATTTAATAATCTAAAGTCAATCATTAATGATTTAACAAACTAAAGTTAATCATCAATGATTTAATAAACTAAAGTCAATCATCAATGACTTAATAAACTAAAGTCAATCATCAATGATTTAATAAACTAAAGTCAATCATTAATGATTTAATAAACTAAAGTTAATCAAATAAACTTAGTAGCAATAATTTAAAAAAAAAAAAACTATAGTCAATCAGCTATAATATAATAAAGCTAATCCAACTATAGAATGCGTCATTAAATTAAAATACACCAGTCTTAAAAAATAAACTAAAATCAATCATTATTCAAATCAACCAACAATGAGCTAATAAAATAAAGTCCATTATTAACGATTTATTTAAATTGAGCGGCAATGATTTAGTAAACTGAAGTCAGTCAGCAATGATTTAATGAATCCCCAAAAGC